GGAGCCCTCCGTGCCTCTGAGCTCCTGCTGGACCAGCCTTTGCCTCTGAAGCAGCTGGGGCCGTTAAGAACCATTTCCAGTTGCACACAAGGTGGATCGGGTGACTCTCACTTTATCACCCCCCGAGGCCACCTCAAGGACAAAGGAAAGGGATACACCCAAAACTAATGTTTGGCTATGGGAAGGATGGCCTGGGCTGATGGGAGCCTGGGCCCCCAGCCCTTCCTCGGGGAAAACACGGTGGGTTTGGGATTTCACAGCCTCTGGAGACAAACATTCCCAGTTTGTGTTCCTTTGTTGTCCCCTCAGCCCACACTTGCAGAAAGGCCGTGCTGTGGGCAGAGCTCTTGCATGCCACAGTGAAGAGTCAGACCTAGAAAATCCTGAATCCTTGTGAAAAGATGGAAGTGTTGTTTTATAAGGAACTGTTAGAGTGTAGGGAAACCGAACCAATATCCCTTCTAGTTCCCACTCCAGAGCCCCTTTTCCATTCCCTCCGAGCTGCCAGGGGGGCAGGGTTGCCTGGGGGTATTTTTTCCACAACAAATAAGCCTGGAAAGAAGAGCACAAATACACTGAGCTTGTGTTCCTGCAGTGCCAGGGCTCAGGACTGGCCCAGCTGGAAGTTCCCAGAACAGCTGATTCACACACTGAGGCCGAGGGCAGTGACAGCCTGGAATGTGACAGGGGAAGCCTTTAAATGAGGGGGGGCTTCTTTTATATTTATATATAGATACAGGAAAAAAAGGGTAGACTGACTCCTAATTAAACTATACAACCCTAAATTGCTTTATAATTTATTTTCTTCCTCCATGCTTTGTTATGTTTATAATTACTCAATCAATTTGTATTTTCTGAATTATTGGCTTTGGAGGCTGAGCTGTGCCCGGGGAGAAATTGCAGAGTTGAGTTCAGTTTACATCTGCAAATTGCTGTGCAGTTTAATAAGGGGTTTGGGTATTTTCAAACTGCACTGCAGCACCTCAGCTTTTATTGCAGTGGAACCAAAAGTTTTGGCTTTTCAGGCCTGTTAAAGAGATCTGCAGCAGTTTTAGAGCCCCCAGCAAAGGGGGACAGTGACTGGTGCCACAAACCAGGTTTGTGCCACAAAGCAATTCAGCAGCACAACTTCAGTGCTGAATAAACACAAGTTTACACTTTACCTGCACGACTTCCTTGGGCTTTTTAAGCTGGGAAAGTAGAAAACTTCATGCTGCTTTTGCTAATACAGTATTTTAGCATTAATTCAAAATTTGGTCCTTTATTAAGCATTTTTAGGTTTACAAATGGTAACAAAAGTATAACACTTCCAAAGAAAACAAATCCCATTCCCAATGCTCTTCAAAATATTTCTCCTTTAAAACAGTCTTTGATTGTTTTGTGTTTAAATAAGCAGAAGGTTTTTCCTGGCTTTCCTCGAGTTGTGTCCATCACCCACAGGCTCCTCTGCAGCGCTCACTGAGCCCCCTCAGCCCTGCAGCTCCAGCTCCATTAACTGATTTTCTTCTGCCCTCTGCTCTTGGAGTCCCAGAGCATCACCACATTGAAGTAGAGCAGGAAGAGCAGGAAGTGCAGGCAGGACACCACGGCCACGGCCAGGGGGAACAGGTCGGGCAGGCGCTGGGGAGGAGGCGCGGCAACGCTGAGCACCGACAGCGCCCCCATCAGGGCCACCGACAGCAGGAACTGCAACACAACCATGGAGCACCTCAGCTCGGCTGCCACCTCGCTGCTGGTGCTCTGCAGTGGCACTAAAAAGGGACAGTGCTGGCAAAAGCTGCGAGGAAGAGGCAAAGGAATAAAATTTGCTTACCAAGCTCCTGACAATCCTAGGAAAGGACTTAACCCAGGACACGTAGCCCTTGAGGGAAAGGGAAAAGGCCTTGAGCTGCAGGTCCTCGGCTGAGGTTTTCTCCAGGATGGAGAAGGAGGCGAGGCACACGGCCAGGAAGGCGGGCGTGGTGACGGCGTAGGGCAGCAGCAGCTCGTCCTTCAGCAGCAGGGGCAGCAGGCTGGGGGGTAAATGAGCTTTGCTTGGTCTTATCCTATGCAAGCTGTTCCAGCTCCAGAGCTCAGTCCCCAAGGGCACTGGGTGCCAGAAGCCAGCTCGCTCTCAGACCAAGGCCGTGGGTCAGCCCCTAGCAAGCAGGAGATATTCAGCTCTTAGTGATCAGGCAGCTCTTGTGATTTCAGCTTTGCTTGCTAGGTAGCTTTCCCTTGGCCTAAGGCTCCAGCAGAGGGTAGAGAGAGGAGAAGCAGAAGACACTGGCTGTTCCACGAGTATGGCTTTATTGTAGGGTCTGTGAAGGGTCTCAGCTCTTCTTCTTCCCAGTTAGTAGGGGTACAGTGTGCTACTTTTATACCCTTGGCCTGGATCCAATCCTGACCAATGGCAAAGGTGTTAGAGTGACCATAAGTGACCAATGGTAGGGTTTAACACAATATTGCCTTCCATGGCTATAGGGATAAGGTACAAGGCGGATGTCCCTGGAGACAGGAAACTTCTTTGCCGCTGTGTCAGCATTCTATTCTCCAAGGGGCCCTGGCTAAACCTGAGGGGTTTACTACAGGGGGGGACAGCAGGGAGAGGAGGGAACACCAGGAAATAATTCATCCCTTTAGCCCTAACTGGGGCACAACAGGGTTTGCATGCAATCACAGATGGGTTTGGGTTGGAAGAAACCTTAAAGCACATCTTGTTTCAACCCTGACACTTCCCATTGTGCCAGGCTGCTCCAGCCTGGCCTTGGGCACTGCCAGGGATCCAGGATGGGCACCTGTGCCAGGGAACAATTCCCAGTCTCCCATCCAGCCCTGCCCTCTGGCACTGGGAGCCATTCCCTGTGTGCTGTCCCTCCATCCCTTGTCCCCAGTGCCTCTCCAGCTCTGTTACCAGTTCTCCCAACTCACCTGAAAGTTGACACAAGTAGAAACCACGTGGCCATGAAGGGGATTTCATTTATGATTAAGCAGACTGGGCTAGAATGAGAGGAAGAAAAAGAGAAATGAACCATTCCCATATCCCACAGCACTGCCAGTCCCTGTGGCTGTCCCCAGGGAGCAGCAGTGTTGGTGACTGTCCCCACACCAGCCTGGCTCTGCTCACACACCCTCATTTACAAGTGATGCAGAAAAGCAAATGTGCAGAGTTGTTAAAATCTGATCCATTTGCAAGTGAAAGCAGCATGCAATAGGAAGATGAGGAAAAGATGAAATTTTATCCACAGAAAAATTATTTACTTACACTGACACGAGAAGAATAGATTTTTCATGGACTTGGAAGGAGAACAGGAAAAATGACAAGGCACAGCTGACCTTGGGAGAGAGAGCAGAGGGGTCAGCCTGGGACTGCCAAGCAAAGCTGTGCTGTGGTGGCTGCAGGTGCAGGCTGAAAGCAGCTGAGTTTTCCAGTTTGCTGCATTTCCTGCAGTGCAAACCCCAGAGCAGCTCCTGTGCCACCCTCACAAAGTTCCTTGTTTGGAACTTTATCCAGAATTAGTCACAAAGTCCTTCAGGCACAGCCTCAGTCTTGCTCAGCTTCCCTGACAAGAGCAAGGAATCACAAAATTCCCACATACAGGCACTGGCAAATCCCACTCCTGGTAAGAATTACCCCCATTTTTGACAGGAAATTTCCTCCTCATCATGACTAACCAACAGAAGAAGTAAACAAATTGTCTTTTTATTTCTCCCACCAAATAAAAACATGTCAAACCAACCAGTTCTTCGGATAAATGTTAGTTTTAGGTAATGTTGCAATAAAATTAAAAAGAGAAATGATCTTGTAACTCTGAAACTTGGACCCAGCTCCATCTAATTCTGATTTCAAGGAGAACTCAGTTTTTGCACAGGAGTCATGGCAATGTGCTTCAATTCAATGATGTGACTAAGAGAAGGCAAACATTTTGGAAAATGGGATCATTTTATTTTCAAACCACTGATGAGCTCACAATGTCCATTTGGGGAATTTTTAATGGAATTTTGCAGCCAGTGAAGGAAGAAAAACTGGCACTTTGGAAGCCAAACAAAAAGAGGAGAAATCCCAATTCTATGTGAGGTTTCAATGTGTGTGGAATCTTCCAAAGGCTCTTCAGAGGAAGATAATAAAAATACAGAGTTAAATAAAGAAAAACTGAGCTTAAGGAACAAGTCTGGGTTTAAGGGCCAGGTCAGAGCCCTGGATTTGAGACAGTAAAACACTTTTTAACCAATTCCTTCAGCATTTGATGGCTCCCACCCTCTGTGCCCTGCACAAGCACTGCTGGCTGCCCTCCAGTGCCCCTGGTGGAGACAGAGCAGGAGCAGAGAACAGCAAACACTCACCAAGGCAAACTTAAACCCTCGCAGGGAAGGCTGGACAGTGAGCTTGATACAGGCAGGGAGCAGGCTCAGGAATGTGACAGCAAAACTAAAGCATTGGGGAAGAAAAACAGTTTTAATACAGGAGTGACTGGAGCCATTAACACTTCCCTCTGCAGAGCCAGACCTGAATTCTTCACTGTGCAAGGAGAACTGGGAGCTCTGACTTTTAAGAGTGTTGAAAGATATTTGAATTCTTTGAATTTGAAAAACTTAACTCAGTTTTAACCAGGCAGCTTAAATCACTATATAAACAAACAGGGAATTTTCTAGTCATAAATATTCTCAATATTTCTCCAACATGACTTGGCAGAAAACTACAGCATAGGAAAGAATACAATTTCAGAAAATTTACTCCTCTTGCAAAAATATTGCAGATAAATCCACCTAAGGCACTCCAGTTATGTCTTACCTGAGTTTTAGCTGAGTTCGAGGAGATATTACATTCTTTATCTTTATAAGGACACTTAGACTGCACCAAATATTGGCTACTTTATCCTGGAAGGAAATGAAAAGGCAATCAGTGATAATTATATCTAATTACACTCAGGTTTGTGGGAACAATGGGGCTTGGGAAGTGGGGATTGTTGGGTTTCTGCCATGAGAGTGCAAGGAACACTTGCAGGAGTACATCACATTCCCAGATGTACTGGGGATGACTGCGCTCTTCAAAAATGGAATTTTTCAAGAGACCCAATTAAAACAGGCTCTAAAATAAGTGAGAAATAATTCTTCAGCACCAGAGACAACAGCTTAACCCATGGGAGCAGCCATTTTGTGGAGCAAGGCTGTGAGACTGTCCCTGGGTAAACCCTGGCCCGTGTGAATCCTCTGTCCCTCCCTGCCTGCCCTGCTCGCTGCCCGCTAGCACTGACAGAGTTAACCCCAATAAATCAACAACCCTAAAGACATTAGCACTTGTGCTAGGATCACTTTCAAAATTAGATTTGTAACTGCAGCTCTCCTGCTGGTGAAACTCATCCCCAGACAGCTGCAGGAGGGGCACAGCTGTGTGGACACAACTCCCAGCAGCAACTGAGCCCCTGGGTGCCGCTGGCAGCGCCCGGAATCTGCCCTGGCAGCGCCAGCGCCTCCTCACAGCCACCAGCAAATGTTCCCGGGCTGCAGATGGGAGCTGGCACACCCTGGCTGCAAATGGGAGCTGCACACAACCTGTCACACCCCCGGCCAAGTTACTGAGCGCTGCTTACGTGGACAAATTCTCATTTTATCTCCATCAGCATCCAGCAAGTCGCTGCCCTGAGCAGCTCAGAAAATATTTGGGCTAATATTAGACTAAAATCCTCCTGCTCTTTCAGGCTCGTTGCTTATTGTCATTGAAAGATTTTGTTTTTAAACTTGGTACTCAATAAAAGGTGTGCTGAGCAAAATGATTCCTTTATAAATTCCAAATAATTCTCAAGGAAAAGGGTCATTGTGCTTTTTTGGGGTTGTTTGGTGTTTTTTAAATAAGCCAGCAGAGAATACACTAAGAACACCTCCACTGCCTTTGGTACATCAGCACTAACTTTTGGGAGGAAAAAGTGTCAGTTGTGATATTATTTACATCTGAAAAGGTTTAAAAGAATAATTAAGATTAATCAAACTACATGAGAACTTGCTTTAATTCCTTGTGACAACCTGGAAATTCAAAGCTTCATTTTCTAGGTTAAGCCTGAATTGAGAATCTGCTGTAAAAAGTGTATTGACTCATGCCCCAATTAAAACAGCAGCAACTCCCTGTGACCTGGGAATCCTTTC